TCCCCTTCATTTCGCTGTCATTTCGTCCCGTGTGATATTCTTGTTCTGTGCGCCGCTCTTGCCGAGTCTCGCTGTTGATACTTGCAAACAAAACTCTGTACATCCTTTTTAAATAAATATGAGGTTTATATGAAATTCGTCTCGTGTTGTCTTCTAGCGAATAAAGAAACTTTTATTAAACGACAATAAGCATATAAAATTTTGTTGCAACTGTTTCTCTGCAATTAAAGGATATTTTTCCTACCTACAGTAATAAAATTAAAAAGCAAAAGCAAAAGCAAAATTCTTCTACAAAATTTCGTTTTATATCATATTATAGTGACTAAGAAGGTTAGTGAAAGAATTTTAGAATATTGAAGAATAGTTCAGATGTTACAATGAATTAAAATAACCCGATCAATTATGCAAAGCATGCACGAAGCACTAGCTGCCACCTACCTTAATTTGACTACTTTCTGAAAGCACCATTATGGGGTAGATATGAACTCTGCATGTCAGACCTGCCTAGCTACTCGTCGATATAACAGGTAACGGATCATCGAAAGGTGATACAGATATCTTCCTTACCCATTATGAAAAACGTAGATACAAGTTTCATTACATTGGATTTTAAACTGGCATTGTTAAAGTTTTATTTCACTTTATAACTACGTATGTAGTAAACAGATATACATTATGCAATATACAACCTTATAAAAAATTAATTATCTTAAGTATACCATACTTTGCAACCACGCATTTCGTAATCGTTACGAAAATATTGTACATAATTCACGCTTAGGCAATCTAAGTGTTCATTATCCATTAAATATAATTACTACGGTACAGGTAACGCGATTAGATTAACATTATGTATTACATCGTCATGAAGTCCTCGGGTTTTTCACTTTTTGTAAATGTAACTCTCGGCGCCGCCTCGACCGAAACCTGCAATGCGCAAGAATAAATGTTTCAGCAGAGTCCATCAAGATTGCAGCAAGTAAAAGAAAGGAACAATAAAAATCCTTTAATTTCATTGAATTATCTTAAACAGATTCACGTATAATTCTCTATGAGTACTAAGAAATACCATTTGAAATTAAGATCACCATCATCCATCGAGTTTTAAATCATCGAAATGCAAATTGTACCAAGAGCTGCGACGTTAAACAAATTGTGTTAACGCGATTCTAAGAAATCGATACAGAACAGTCAAGGTATAAAAAAATAGAAGGAAATTAAAAAATTACTTTTTAATGACCATTATGGAAACCATGAATTTTAGAACATCCATCGACGTTCACGTATAAATCGAATCTACCAAAAGAGAATAGAATTCACAAAATTCAAAGCAGAATGAGTCCAACAAATAAATCGAATAAGACTTCCAGTAGTTCTGAGTAAACACAAATTCTTCCATCGAATGTTCACTCGTCACTCACCTCCAGGACCAAACAGAGCAGAATAACACGGATGATTACAGTAAGGTTTGCCTTCGTGTTCCGAATGACTACCAGGTGTCAAAGTTTTATTACACTTTTCGCATCGTAAGCAGGAACCATGCCAGTCCTTTCCCAACGAGGTTTTCCTTTCAGCTGTAACAAACAGAAAAATCGCGTTCGTATAAGCTTCGTTTAATTTGATATTCACGTTTCGTGCCGTATAAGTCGATTGTCCGCTTTCGATGTCACCGATCCACGAATGATTCACCGGGTGAAATGAAAACGGGGAAATAATTACGTTCGATCAGGTCTATTCGCTTGGCCTCAATCCACTTTGCTAAAGCCATGTACGGCTGCGTTCCCGATAAAGAAGCCTGAACGAAGTTTTATCAACCCCTTGACTGACAATAAGTAAACCGGTGCAAACGGTGGTGATTGTCGGCAAACGCGTGGCATTGCATAATAATAAGCGGCGGAATTGGATAACGATTGTCGCACCACGTGTCGCGGAATTGCCGCTTACCACCGATCCATCGTTGCGTAATGCAAAATCTCAAACATTTACGATATTCGTATTATACGTGGAACGTTTGAAATTATTTCGTATGTCAACGTTTTTAGTTTCGAAGCATTTCAAAGGAATTCTTATTTCTAAATTTAAAAGATTGGACATTGGAAAAATTCTTAACACGCGAGAATTTCTAAGATAAGATAGTTCCACAACTTGCAAAATTTCAAATTATCAAACAGGTACGTTGTGAAGTAATTTCAATGTTGTGAAAGATTTGTATAAGAGTGGCAGTGTGTCGAATGGCTTGTGGAAAAATTTCAAAGTTTCGAGCGATTATCAAAGCAACCTGAAGGTTGCCACATAATTTTTAGCGTACAGTAAAGTTTCTGTTATCAAAGCACGTATTCTTTAAACGTCCTATTATTATATCATTGTATGAAAGTGGCATAGACTGAGAAACAAAAACATTCTATAAACCTACGAATCAAACGAAACCGAGAAATATTCAAAGTATTTCTGAATGCGAAGGAAACCTTCGAGAAACCTTCAAAATCCTCATTATCAACCATTCACTCAGAAGCGAAAGCGTCGAGTAACTTCACGAGCGCGTCATCTAGAAGAGGCACGATCGATCCAAACGTACAATAAGCTGCACGCTCCGTTTGGAATCCGCTAACGCGCTTTCCCTCGACGATCGGAACACAGAATTATCCCCAGGCGGGACCCGAGTCGTCGCGAGCTTCGCCGCCGACTGCTCCATTAGCAATTTCGTAATTATAAAATTGAATGGCTAATTCCCGGCGGAGACGTTCGGTGAACGCGTTCCATTCAGCGAAGGCGCGAACTCGAGGCGTCCTGTGCGCCTTCGCCATGATAAAGCGCGACAGCCACGCCGCTTTACAAAATATCCGCGCTGCATTGTCGCGCGACGAATTCCCACGTGCGAGCGAGTACGCGCGAATTATACGCCTTTCCGGGATTTCTCTTGGAGTGCAAGGGGCGACGTCGCGCGACTAATGGCTAAAGGTGATGTCGACGACGCAAACAAGGAGCCAGCGACACGGCCGAGCGCTTTTGTCGCGCGTCATCGCGCAGAAACGCGGCTGATTAATCGAAAAGAGCGTCGATCCCACGAGCCGAGAGAAAGAAGAGGAGGAAATACGTTTATTATCGGGGGCCGACAGGATTGAGAAAGACTTCGAGTAGCACGATTTTCTTTCCGAAATGTGCAGCTTTCAACGATCGCGTCGATCATGCGTACGGTTGCGTGGCGACCCAGTATCCAGACGAACACGAGCGAACGTAACAAGGATGAAGCTGACTGGTAGCATCAACAATACCTTGTAACGACGAAGTATCGCGTTAGCCGAACCTCTCGAAACACGGATAAAGAAAGCAGCGTGCATTTTCTATCAGGCTGGTGTGGTTCTTGCGTTTGTTTGACGCTCGTACGCGGTTCGGATCTCGGTTGACAAAAGGCCGCGAAATCAGAGGAGCGAGTGTAGCCTTTTTTTCCTTGGGTGCACCGCGCTGCGTCATACCATTACGACATATCAAACCTCGCGGGGAAGACAAAAAAGCCACGGACCGGTGGCGGCCCGGTGGTTGGCATTCAAACGTTCCTCCGCGTCTAAGGAGGAGCACAAAGGACGGTGGTGCCAGCGAGGGGAATTGGAAAATGACGAGGAGCGGAGAGACACGGGAACGGGTCTAAAGGGGTCGACGTCGGGAACCAACGTAGGCAAACGTCGGGAACCAACGTAGGCAAACGGGGCGGGAGGGTTCGTAAAGAGGGTGCGAGGGGGGTAGGACAGGCCGCGATGTAGACGAGGAGAGAGAGAGAGAGAGAGAGAGGGGGGCGGAAGAGGCGAAAGAGCGAGAGAAAAGGGGGAAGGTTGCGTTGGAGGAGAAGGACGAGGAGCGAGTAGGAGCGAGGAGGAGCGAGAAAGACGGAGGAACGGGCAGCTTGCTCGCAGAATGGTACACGGATGAAGGAAAGAGAGGCTGTGGAGCAAGAAGGGTACGCATAAAGGGCCATTAGTTAATTAACTCCTAATTATCTGGCGGCGGAGAAGCGAGTGCATAATCGTCAAGCATTGCTGGTGTGCAGTGGCAGCGCGAAAAGGCAGACAGCGCTGTGCACGGATCGTTGCGCCCGGGCGCCAAACAATCGGCGGCTGCTGATTGCATAGGCTTGGAACATCATCCCCCGCTGTCTTTCCCTGCTTTTCTCTTTTCTTCTTTCTCTTTATTTCCTCGGTAGACCATTCTCCACCTCTTGCACCCCACCCAGACCGCCCACCCACCCCACACCTATCCTCTTTCCCACTACCACGTTTCTTGCTGCGTCTTTCAAACTGCCGATCCGCCGCCTCCATCATCTCCGCCCTCGCCCAACTCGCCAGGAAAGGCCGTGAAAAACTTCTCGTCGTAGTAACTCTACCTCCCCCACCGTGACATCATAAACGGGAGGGTTGAAGGGAGGAGGGAAAAGGAAGCAGCTATTCCCTTCTTTTCGTTCTTTCTCTTCTCCCTTTCGCCCGTATCCTCCTCTCTCCTCTCGGCGTCGTTCTTCACCACCACGATCCGGCTATTCTTCTCCAAACCTGTTTCCTCCTCTGTTCTTCTTATTATTACTCGATACTGCTTCCCGAAGCCTGTCCCGTTGTCGCTCTCCTCGCCGCTGGACACTTTATTGTCGTTGCTCTCGATGCAACGTGACTCGGTTTCCTCGTCCGCTTCTCCTATCCACGGTTTTCAAGCTCGCTCGTCGCGAACGCGCGTTCACCCGGGCCACGAAATTTTTGTTCGGCTGCCTGGCTTGTTACCGTCTACGAATCTCCCTTTAAGACATCCTTCCGTGTACGAAATGAATTAACGAAGAACTTTTGCGCGGAAGCCGTTCGTGTCCATCGCTTTCTAAATCTAAAAGAACTGTTTCTTATCGTTCTTTGTGTATTTTTGCTTTTGACATCAAATTCAAAGCGTATGAAGAGACGAGTAATTAAAGAAAACTTTACAGGGTTATTATGACAGTTGAAACGAATGAAAAGCTAAAGACAGTAGAATTGTACTTCTCTGGATATATTCTTAATTACATTCAAAGATTCGTAGGTAGCGGAATCTTATTCCTATTTTTACCGTCTTAATATTGTTACTATTGTATTTTGCGTATTTTTACGTAGCGTGTGAGAGCCGTAGGCACTTTAAAATATCGAATAAAGATATCTCAGGGACAAGGAGGCTTTGAAACCCTAAAACTTTCACAGTGACGGCATTCATTGCTGATTCATTAAGCATCAGTTACCAAAAAGGATGCTTATTGTATAACATTTCGTAGAACCCCGATGTCCAGCGTTTCTACCTTTCCTAATAACCAACGGCTCATAAAATCCGGCGAAACTCCAGGAAATCTTTGTTCGTCGAATAGTCAGCAATTCCCTGAAAATCAGTCATGTGTCGACGTAAAAGGGTGAACCACGATTCGTTAAGAAGATTCATTAAATATTCGTAAAAAGAAAAACGACAGAGGATAACACGAGTCGTTTGTCAAATGCCACGAGATCGTTCGAATGTAGTTTTATTTGAAGGCGGATCTTGGTTTTTCAAAGGATCTCTGTTGCGACCGGGCTCGAAAAAAGCTTCTACCTTTTGCGGGTGCACGTTGCCCGTAGAATGCTCGCTCGAAACAAAGAAAATGCGAGTAGAAAGCTGCGAGTGGCTTCACCGCGAGTTCGCTTTCTGCGCTTGCCGCCTACGCGGATCAAGAGGAAGAAGGCCGAAACTTCAAAAGTTACTTTGCTCGAGAATGTAACACGCTGCAGCGTGTCAGCGATTAATTGAATACAAAGATCAACGGTTCAAAGGTCCACATCCTTTTCCCATGGTTAATTGTAAGTTTAAAATAAAATGCGATTTTAAACTTAAAAAGCGTAAGGCGTTTGGAACAGGTTTAAAGTACGAGCACTCTTTGGCGAGCTCGTTATGTAAGGTTGAGGTTAAGAATTTAATCATTGATTTATTGGAAGTTGCTTGGTGTTTGTAAAATCGTAGATGTACATATTCGTATTTAGCAATAATTTATGGAGCGGTCGAGGTCGACTCGTTGCGAAGATATCGCGATGGATATCGAGCGGGGAACGTAAATCTTGCATTTCTCGGGTCAATAGCTAGCTAGTGATGGACGTTCTATTTGCTAAAATAATTAGCACGTTACCAATTGCTTGGATAGATATGCAATCCTTTATATCTTTCTCACGAACCAACATCGATCGTCGTAACGCGAACGATCGTTGGCGAAACTTCTTAAAAATCTTTTCCTACGATTGAACACACCACGAAATCCATACGATACTCGGAAAATCCTCATCCTCGTCCTCCAAGACACAGCCATAATGTCGAAATTCGCCCTTTAAATCCCTCGACAGCGATACACTCGCATAAATTCACAGTTAATCAAGAGCCGAGAACCAAGAAGTTGTCAAAATTCCAAGCTGAGTGGCTCGTTCGCTGAAGCAGCTACTAATTAAAGAGAAGCGTAATCTCTCGACGAGTCCACTAAACGGTGTTTCTCGCGCAAATCCTAGCAGCCGGTCGTGGGCCTGCGGTGACAAGCTAAAAACGTGTTCGCGAGTCTTCGATTTGGAGGCCAATGACCCTCTCTCTTTCTCTTTCTCTGAACCCCTTTGAAACTATCATCCTCTTCCTCCCGCGATACACGGAAAAAGAGTGTCGTCCCTCTAATTCGCCCGTTGCCACGGCATCCATTCCTCGTACGCCTACTTGGCCCGATCTGAAAGCCCATATACGTAGCCGTCGGCAGCGGCTCTCCTGTATTCAAAAAAATCCGCTTTCAGCGCTAATAGTGCTTTAACGGGGCCGTCTAAAAGGCCGCTCGAAAGAGGAAGCGTGCAATTAAAAGCCTACCTCTCTGAATACGATGGCTCTGGGCGAGCGCGCGAGCTGGCGCGAGCAACATCGGCCGCCCGAAGGGAACGAAAGCGAGCTATCGTTCTGCAGCCACCACGGTGCAACGTTTATCTAAGCGTCCAAGGGGAAGCGCGAGCCTGCCGATTGGACGACGATAAGGTTATCGCGACGAGGTTCGCTGAACGCGAGGACCCCTCGCGAAAAACGACCGCGATAAGCGGAATCGAGCGCCTCAAGGTCGAACGCCACTGTCGTCGTGGGTGTTCATTTGTCGTCGTATGTTTGAATTGGTTTGTTTTGAGTCCGACAATAGTGGAAATGTGGGTGAATTATCGTGGAAAATTTGAAGAAGATTCTACTGTGGCTTTGAGGCTAATCGCGTGGACTTTAGAACGTTAAACGTAGCGATGGTAATTTCGATAGCTGGAATTTGTCGACTAACGGGAACGTGTGTACGAGTTGGTTCGAGAGACAGAATTTTGAAAATGTTCGACAATCGTGACGAATGGCTATCGAAAAATTATCGAACGCGTGGTATAAGTCGATGGTTAATAGAAAATTATAAGCTGATCTTAGAGTTGGAATTTAGATAATGGCAACGAATAGTAGAGCGATGGTGGAAAGAATTGTCGAACATTCCAGAATAAAAATGAGCATTGCTTGTACGTATATTATACTACCAAAGTGAATTCCAACAAAACGTTTTGCGCGATATTCGCGACAGAAGATTACCTCGACGACAGTGACAACAGCGTGCGTTAGTATCGTAATAATTCTGTAGATAATACTAATGAATGAGGCATTATCATAAATATCGAGGACAACTCATAACTTCAGGTTCTTCCAATGATAGCCATTACGATGAAAATATATGTATGTTCTTGATAACCGATCATTATCATATTATCGTGGATCAAAGTACATATGTTCCAAATTATATAAATCAGTATTTAGCAACGATCTCATATAGATCAATATACACCAACTTTCTCTCTCTCTCTCTCTCTCTCTCTCTCTCTGTCTCTCTCTATTAGTCTTTTAAGACTCAAAATGATTCAAAGGATCGTACGATGTATTACGTTTGAAAACCTGCTATGCACATCGACGACACGACTGACGACACACAGGCGAACGTATGATATTCGCATTTCATTGCATAAAATTTTCTTCCTAGTAACTCGTATTACTCGAAATTCCCATTGCGTATTTACTCGTACACAACGGAACGAGGTTGACATAATATTTGTCAAGGTGAATCGCGAGGACGTACAATGATATCATTCCTGTCGTCATTTCACGCACACTATTGCGTGGATAGCGTAGCACTCGTGACGCGAATTTCCTGCAGCAGGATGTACGCAATCGTACATAGGCGAGCAATTTCGTAGACACTGTGAGTGTAGAATGGGATATATTATAGCCGGATTATGCGTCAACGATTTGCGCGAATTGGGCAACGTTTATAATTATCGATTAGACAATCCGTTTCTTACGAAGCTGTCGTTGTGACATCGTATGCGGAAAAAAGATGTAAATTATTTTGAATACTAAGCAGATTGCGAGTATATTTATGAATATTGCGGTTTTACACACTGAAACTTAATTCTATTCGAAATCCGATACACAGACACTTGTAATTTTCTTTTAGTAATCGTCAGACTTTCTATATAGATAGCGATATGAATATTCAATTCAAGCAATAATTGCAACAAATTGAACAGTTCCTCTGTATATACGATGGCGGAGAAGAGATAACAAAGGATAAGCAGTACGAGAAACAACATAACTTGATCATTAAGTAAATATAATACAGTAAGTATACAAGGTGTCTACTGCAGAAGCTATTGATACTTAAGCACGTAAATAGCAATTTTAAACCTCTTTCCGCCCCTCGCTGTATAGAATACCGCGAAAGTTTGGGGTCTGATGAATCCACAACGTAGAAAGTGTTCACCACAAAATTTAGCGTATAAAATATCTGTATCTTGGAATGTTTCGCAAAATTTACAATAGGATTACGTTCGACAAAAGCGAGAATCTGCTGAGAAATACTTTTCGATGAATATTACGCTGGAAGAAGAAGCAAGCACTCACCGAAATAGACTGGCTTGTCGCACTTCGGACAGTTGGGCATGATGGAACGGTCTGGTTCTTGTTGGAACAACTACGGAAGCGTCGAACAGGCTCCACTCAGCAGCGTGGTCAAGCGCGTACTGGGCCCGCGCGTTCTGCAAGGTAACGCGATTCTCTCTAGTTGATTGAGCGTACGAACGTGTGTTAACGTCGGTCGTACATGTGTGTGCGCGTGCGAGAAACCCGTGTTAAGGTCGCCTCGGTTCGACTTCGAAACTGGTATCCCGTCTATGCACGTGTGTGTGTATGTATCCATACACGCACACACGCGCACGTTCACGCACACACATGCGTGTCTCTACATGAATGTACACGGAGTGTGCGTGCACCTGAACTTGCGGCGGCAGTAGAGTGTCATCGACGCGATTGTGTGCGTGTACCAGGTAAGTGCGCTCGTAACCGCTAACGGTCGCTTTACTCGAGAGGTTCGACTTCTTCGACCGATGAATCGCTCTTCTGACCGACCGATCCCGTTATCCATTGTTGACAGATTCGTTATCGAAAACGCATAGCCAAGTACAGGGCTGTTCATGAGTATTCAGAGATGGTCGGAGTCGATCGGTATACTAGCGTGTATACGTAAATAACGGGGCGGATAGAAACAATAGGAATGCAATCGAACGAGATTGTTGAGGATGGAGCGGATGTATGTACGCAGAGGCTCGAGAAGAGGAATTGGGCTAAGGCCGTGGATAGCGTGGTCGATGAAATAAGAAGAGAGAGGAGTAAGTTGACGAAAGAGCGAGTTCGAGCTTGGTGAAAGATATTAACGTGCATTGAAACAGGTTTGAACGAAGTAAACAATCTTTACTCTTTTAAAGCATCGAATCCTCGTTACGAGTCATTCCGTACTTATACCTTTTAGAGATTTTCTTTGTTAATCGATATTTGTCGATATCACGATCCTCTAATTTCGGTTACATTGTATTCGTAGAGGGATAGAATTATTCGAGATATTTCATTTCCAAAATTCAGCAACGTGACTCGCACTAAGCCAATATGTCGTCACTGATCGTTATAACATATAATAGAAATCATTATTTCGAACAATTTCGTAAAGAAGACGTATAACGCTAAAATTTGATTGTACTTGTACATTCAGCATTTCATTAATTCATAACTTACGTACTTGATACGTATAAGAATTAATTACATCGTCATTTGTCGCGTTCTTTATAGGTTTTATAAACAATAGAGCTTTACAAATTCTAAGAAACTATTCCGAATTCAAGCGTTTAAAATGAAGGTAGATACAAATACCGATTGTTTTACAGAAAAAATACTGATCGAACACATTTCTAGAGAAATTCGTATCACTCAATTTTCGAAAAATCGTACCAAAAAATAAGACACGATGTATACATTTTGATACCTGCCGATACCCAAATAGTAGACACACGAGGATCTTGGCTGCTCACTTCCTCGAGCCAATATCTGCGGTGTGTCGAGAACGTAAATAAAACTGGACTACTTCTGAGTGGTTGTTATCGTCAGTTAATAACGGGACAACATATTTTTAAGCAGGCGATAAAAACACATGGGGTACGTAGATTTTATAACTGACCACATCCTCTGATTAATGCAATATATATCTATCTGCACCACTGTTAATTCGACGTTAGTGAAAAGCAAACACGCGAAATTGAAACATAGGTCATAGAACAGGGTGTATAAAAGATTGTCAACCGAAATGAATTCGTACAATGACGATCAATTAAAATTGATCACCTCTATCGAAAACGACGATATAGGAACGGCAATAGAGATCTGCACCACGAGATTCGATAAAAAATTCTTACAGCCTGTTGGAGTACTGCGCGTGACTATCGTTCAGTTGGCTGCTTGGCAAGGGAATATTGAATTATTGCAACTGTTGTATGAAAATGGAGCTGATATCAATGCCACGGACAAAATTGGCAGATGTGCGCTTTTTCACGCGGCGCATCATGGAAACTGCGAAGTGGTGAATTGGTTGTTGGAACATGGAGCTTCCACGGAAAATAGAGTCGGGGTTGATTCTTGTTACAAGAATACTCGTTCTCCTTCGAACCTGTGTTTTATTGGTCAAAACGTGAGTACCGTGAATTAAATAAAATTTCATTACTGTGCTACTCATTAGCAATTTTAAAGCTTTTTCGATACATTTATCGGTAGACTGCAATGTTTATGAAATATTTTAAGAGTTTAAAAAATGTACAACATGTACAACTGTACAACAAATGTAAACAGAAATATTTAAATATCCAAAATATAATACTTGTAGTATTATAGTATCTAATGAGTGAAGCAAACCTTCGCGTAGGTTCTGTTTCTTTACTTATGTTCGTGAAAATATACATTTTTATAAATGTTTCTAGCTTATTTATCATCTTCCAAATGAAAGTACTAATCGATTGGAATTTTAGTTACCTACACCAGAGTGTTGGGGAAGGACACCCATGCACCAAGCTGTGAAGAACAATCACGCTGCGGTAGTCAAGATCCTGGTGGAAGCTGGTGCTGATGTGAACGCGGAAGACGAACGAGGAATCACACCATTGCTTCTAGCAGGGACCGCAATCGTAAAAGAAGATTTCAACGAAATTTCCAAATTTAATGACATCGTCGAGATCCTCGTAGCAGCGAAAGCTTCGACCAACGTCATCGATCCTAATACAGGTATTATATAGAGGTCGTCAATTATGAAAATTATTAAGCTGATTCAATTTCATTTATCACGTACCGTGTACTGGTCTCTTCTGTGTTGTGTTTGATCCTAATTAGTCCTTTCTATAAACTTACAGGTACTACCGTATTGCATACTGCGACCTCACTAGGAAGTTGTTCGGCGACGAAAAGGTTACTGAACGGTGGTGCGTGGCCTCTTTATCAATGCAAAGGCACAGGAAGTACTCCTCTTCATCTCGCTGCCAGCACGGGTAACCCAGAGGCGCTTTCGATCCTTCTAGAGAGCATACCTTCTTGTGATATCGACATTCGAGATAACGTGAGTCTTTACCATATTTAACCTTCTATGTATCTGCTAAATTTAACATAATAATCACTTAATTGTGCCATTTCCTTTCTTTGATATCCAGATCAATCGAACACCATTGCATAGAGCAGCTTACCAAGGTCACCACGAGTGCGTTCGAATACTAATCGATCACGGTGGCAATTTAGGCGCAGAAACGAACACGGGAATTACTGTCATCGATGCCATATTTGCTCACATACCAACACCAGTCTTATTTCTAAACGATATTCTGTCTTCCCGCGTTAAAATGAGTTCCGTTGAAAGTTCCGTGGAAAATTCCCAGGTAATAGAAACAGCGTGATTTACTCGTTCTAAAGATGTCGTTCCTCCCTTTTACTGTTTTCTGTATTTTATTGTTTTCTGTTCAAGATCACCATTGACTTCAACGTGCTAGCGCCAAAAGGAGAGCTGCAAATGGGAGTAGTTACGTCCCTTATTGCAGCAGCCTCGAACGTGGAACAATTGACGATACTACAACATCCGCTGGTGGAAACGTTCCTCTGGTTGAAGTGGTCCAAGTTGAGAGTATTCTTCTTTAGTCTCGTCTTCGTCCACGCCCTGCTGGTCTTTTCCCTGTCTGGTTATTCCATAACGATATTGCAATACGAGACTGATTGCGGCCTGTTGCGGAGGATTCTCTCTTCCTGTTCTTGTGTCCTCTTCCTTCACAATGTCGTTCAAGTGCTGATGGTACCTAGGTTCGTCTAGAATCAAAATAAAATTAAGTTTGTCCCTTCGTCATTTCTCTTAGAATTTTAACGTAGGTAAATTTCCTATAAACATCAGATACGTACCTACATCCTTGTTCGTAAGTATCGAGAACCAACAACAGTTAATATCATTAGGTAATCGTCAAACCTGTAAAACTTATCATTTCATTCGAAACGTAGATTCACAAGGTACCAGTACAATTTGATATAATAAAAATAATTTTCACCTTGTCCATCTTGTATATCTGTCGCGTCTTTTCATCAGCATCTTCACTTTATTTATTCTTACAATTACTCCGAAAATCTATATATTTTAGATATTATCTGAGACAGTACGAAACGTGGCTATCGTTCACCTGCGCGGCGATATCTCTGACGATTTCAATGGGTAACGCTTATAGAAGCGAGATTACGGCTTCATCAGGGGAAAAGGAATTACACGATGCTCGACAGCCCCTTCAATGGATGTTGCATTCCATCAGCCTGGCAATCCTGCTTGCCTGGATGCAAATGATGCTGTTAATCGGCCGCCTTCCAATGTGCGGATATTACGCGCTCATGTTCTCCACGGTGCTGAAGAATATTCTGAAGGTCAGTAGTAGACGTAATCAACCAACGTGCGTTTGATTCCCGGTGCGCCGTGTAATAATCGCCTGTTCCTCGCCCTATTCGCTCGTCAGGATCGATCTTGGAGAAAGGAAAAAGTAACGAGGAATCCCCCGTTGAAGGAAGAACTCCCAATTTTCCTCGTTAAAGCGCGTCGAGTCGCGGTTAAACGGGCGCGAATAAAAAGCAGCTACGTCCGACACCGCAAGAACACCGTTTTTCACCGAAGAGAGTCGTTTCAACAGGAGCAACGTTAACCCTGATTTAATGTGCCAGGGGAGGCTTTTTTTCTTGTATCTTTTTCCTTTGCTTCCTCTTTCTCCTTTTCTTTTTTCTTTTTTTTTTTTAATTCCGTCTGTATGGCGAAAGATCCTGCATTTAGCCGAAACGAAAGGTACAAGAGAGCGACGAGGCTCTTCCCTTCGGCGAATATCGTTAGAAATGAAAAGCCAAAGGGGGAAGAAGGAAGAAGCAAGGTTCTAAATGTCTGGTCGGTGATATGGCTCCCATCAGGACCCACTTGCCTACCCCTACTTCGCACAGCCCTACCACCCTCTCTACTTCGCGATTATAACAACGTGCATCTGGGGCTTTTTATTTCCTTTCAGGTTCTCCTAGCGTTCGTCTGCCTGATTGTCGGATTCGCGTTCAGCTTCGCCGTTTTGTTCCACGGGAACGACCAGTTTCGCAATTCCTGGAGGGCCGTCGTGAAGACCGTGGTAATGATGATGGGTGAGTACGAGTACGGGGCTCTGTTCTCGGACGAGAAGAATGGGAGTTCCTTCCTACCAGCCACGAGCAGGGTCGTGTTCCTCGCTTTCGTCATGCTCGCTAGTATCGTCCTGATGAACCTGATGATCGGCCTCGCGGTCAATGACATCCAAGGCCTCGAGAAAGAGGTACGGTCCGTCGATACTCTTACTCACCTACCTTAGATATTCATTACGTAAACGTTTCCTTGGTATTGCGGAATGCTGGACGAATAATTCCATAGTAATATCGGAAATAGCAACGAATCACTAGTACATTGACGATCGATGATTACATCTGAAAATCAAATGGGACAAATATAATAAGCTTACTTTCGTTGATTTTCTAATTTTTACGCTTCTTGACAAACTAAAGGGAAGTACTTCGATATATCGTCGTTGAAATAGAAAATAACCTGTCAGGTTCAAAGATACGTGTCTTTTGAAAATAAATCGTATATTCACTGAGTATTTCTTAAATAGAATATATATAGTACCATCAATGTTATGAGTAAATTGCGGATGTTTATATAGTTGCAAGAATACGTAGAAGATGCAATTCAGAGTATATGTTATAGTATCTAGTAAATAAAATAAACTATTCAGTCTCGATTCCTTTAGTAATGCTCAAAGAGGTATGAATTTACATAAACGTCTCATACCTTTGAACTAATTTGGAAAGTGATAGAATCGTACATTTAATTCCAAAGTCCCTTAAAAAGACAGTTCTACTAATATATTAGTGGCAGACAGGGCATTAAATTTTAAACTGTGCTACCAAGGGAGGAAAATATAGGTCATCATGATCTTTCCCTGTAGTCTTCGTTTCTAATTGAATATCCAATTTAATTAGAAGTTAATTAAATTAATTAAAGTGTGCGACTACCCGTATAAGAATGAATATTGCGTGAATTCAGGGACACATTCGCCAATTGCTGAAGCAGGCCGAGTTTGTGGCTCATTTAGAAAGACTAGTGCTGACATCACATCGAATCTTTCGCCGCAATTGGCTACATCCTCGGTTAGCCAGGCTGCTAGACTCGAGGCGAGGCATTCCCACAAAAATTACGTTCTGTTATCACGAACGTTATTTCCATGAATCATCCCTCGGCGTGCCAGCGAGGCTGAGGGAGGCGTTGTTTCTGCTCGCCTTGGGAAACTCGCGCGACACCGAAAGGTGAGCAACTTGTCGTGCGACGAACGAGTAAAAGTTCGCTCGATCACCATCATTTTACGCTTTAATTAATAATTTCATCCATAACGACCCAAAGTTGCGGCTGGCTTAAAGAAAACGCTGTTTTCCCAGCAGGCGTGAAAATAACAACGGGGACGATAACGTGGAATTAAAAGCGCTGTTGGAGGAAGTGTTGTTGCAATTAAGGGTACCTTATTATCCGTCTGCCATGAGAAAGTTTTCAGTACCTTATAATGCACGAACTCAAACGGGACAGAGGAAGATTGCTAACCAGTGAAGAAATATATATGTATACCTTTTTCTTATGTTTTTATTAAAATATCGATGAACTCTATGATATATATATATATATTTATTTATTACGTATCCTATGGAAATATCTTTAATTTATGATGATTTTGCTTAATTGCAAAAAAATATTTAGAAGATGAATATTACGTGAAAACTTACCCAGATTTAATCAAATAATAGGTAGAAGTATGGCGTATAACCTCTATTGGAACTTTGAAATCACTAGAAAAAAAGAGAGGTATTAATTACGTTTCTACTTATCTCTAAATATGTAACACTCAGTGAGAGGTTTTGTTATTTTTTATCTTTATCTGACTGTTATTCGTATACCTTTAATTATTGAAAGTGATAGCAGCCGGATTAAGATATTGCAAAAATCTATGTGTGATAATTACAATAATTGTGCTGTGTTGAAAAATAACAAAAAAAAAGTACCTCGTCGGTGGATTGAGTTGTATCAGTTTAGCTCTGAATTACAGATACGCATTGCTAAAGGTCGGTATAGTAGAGGAATAGTGTTATCGACGTAACCTAGCGAAGATTTCATTAGATATTGATCTGAGCATAGATGTCTCTGCGATACTATTTTAGATTTTCAAAGTTGTAACGTACGAAAGTGTCATGGCACGTTGATCGTTTCTTAGCAGGATCATCGAATGTTGTAAGTTGTAGGTAAGCATGTTTATTAAATTTATACCTTAAAATATGTAACATATTTCAAATAGCAGCCTTTTAGTTATTGTATAATTCAAGATGTTTTGTTATCTATTCAATCTTTATCGTATTTGCTTAAATTTTCGTGCTATCCTCAATAATTCTCAAGTTACTACAGTCACGAATAATTTTACGAACAACAAACGCAATTTATGCAATTACATTTTACAAATAATTACATTTATGATAGCATGCAGATTCCTCATTATATTTCAATTGAAACGAAAATTAAATAGGATTTTAATGAATGTATGTTTGATACCATACCTGTCACCCTCATCAGTAATCCAACGTATATGGTAATGCGATAAATTTATCGTCGTATATATTTTTCAAATACAATTCATTATTTCGACGAGAATATTAATAAATTGCTTTCAAAACGTTACAGATCACGCCGACAGATATGTAGTACTTACAACATTGTCAACCAACCAATCAAATACTTGTACGATCGCTGTGCTACCAAAATTGGCGGGAAATGCAGGAAACAATGGCTTTCAAAGAAAGGTTGTAATTTCTTCGTATCGAGGAATATTCTGGATATTCGAAATTTAGTAAGTCTTCTTTCCTTCCCCTTTTCTTCAATGTCGCTTTTTTCCATTTTTCTACCTTTTTCCTCTAAATTAGTTTATAACTTTCCAAGAATGTATGGCACGGAACGTGATTCATGCGATATACCTGAAAGTACCGAAGAGTTTCGTGCAGGCAAGATAATTGCAATTTATCGATAAGATTTATGTAGCCGGCAGAAAATTTACAAAAACGTTAATCCAGGCACACGTGAACGCGAGTCGTGTTGGTTGTCCCAGGAATAATTAACGCGAAGGTTTCTTAACAAAGGTACGTGCAGTGATTCTGACATTTGAGGTTATTAATACGGGTATAATGTTTGCGTGCAAATAATGAAGTACGATCGAACGAACGCGTTATTTCAACGGAATATAATGTGTTGTATTGTTCGTACAGGTGATTAAACCGAGGACACGTCATTCAATCTGTCTGAAATTTATCTCGCTTATTTCGATATAAGGCGAATGCCAGCGGATCGTACGCAAACGATCACACGCACTCATGTGACTCGTTCTCTTTGTCATTCCTAGAGATGATACGAAAATCAGCTTTGTTAGCGGCTAATAAGGGGACCCGTGTATTCGTTCAGATTTTAATTAAATACGGAAATCGGATAGGACAGTGGCCAGCGCATACATTACCATAAATTGTCGTTCACCCGCGGCTGTAAAGAAATCAAACGTGCACCTGCCTTAACGGTTGTAACAGAACTGGACGTATTTCGCGACTGCTTTGACGCCACACTTTTATTTTCACGAAAAACGACATTACGCGTGGAATCGTTTCTTGAAATTCCACGCTCGCCTCGAAAGAGAAAGAAAGGAGAAAGAGGCGTCACCGAACAGAATAAAAAGATTACTTTAACAGGACGCATAATTTATAGGGTTGACTTTGAAACGCGCAACCGGGATCGGAGAAAAATTCACAAACGAGTTTCCCCGACCGGAGGAAAGATTTCGAATAACGTAGGAGAATTTGCACCTCGCGTAAAGTCATTCACCATCGACAGTATCGGAAACTCGCTTATATTCGTCTTCAATTATAATAAATTACGGTTTTCAAAATTGGTAGTACTGGCTCATGCGGCATATCAATGTGCGTTTCTTTTTCTTCCAGATTAATTAAGCAACAAGAAATTCTTCGTAGATACGATCGGAATTCGTGTTTACATAGTCGATAATAAAACCTTAATAATTAAATAGAAGAGGAAACCAACGGATCGTATGTCCATTAAAAAACAACGGCAAACTACCCGTCGGTGAAAAGAGGTGGCATAGTACGAATAGGAGAAAAAAGCTCGACGACAAATCGGACGGCCGTAAGTGGAACTTAATAGAAGGTAAACGTTTTGCTTATTGTTTGTTAGAATATAAGTCTTTGCGTGTGGTAGGTGGGGAGATAGGAGGATCGTAGCTGGTCCTCTCGCACGACGAAAACGGCACGCAGGAGTTACAGTAGCGGTGGTGGCGGTGGTGGCACTGGCGGTGGGAGCAGCAGCAGCAGCGGTGGTGGTGGCGGCGGCAGCA